TAAGGAACATCTCACCCAACTCCCATACGTTGTTGGGGTCCCAACATGAGCTGATTCCCCGCCACATGCAGTCATACAACTGGACCTTTCAGAAGGGGGTGTTCACAGCACCCCCTTTACACGGAAGGACTCAGTGAGAGGACTGGGTGGGTTTCTCACTGAGCCATTTGCTGGCTTTCATGCCGGCCCCGCGGAAGCTGTCCTGGCTCAGAGTCAAACCCAGGGGGCCCCTGCACCCCCAGCAGCACCCTACTTTCCTGTCCCATTTTTGGTCCACTCTTATTTCTTCATTCCCATTTTTATTATGTTACATGTATTTTTGGAGCTACCTTAAATCTTTCTGGAACGGGTGAAACAGGAATGAATACATGGTCAGACATCTAAACATCTAAAAAATAATTCTAAGGGGAAAAAAAGGCAGAACGTCATCATTGGGGACGAAAACAGAAGACTTTTCAGGAGGGAGAAGATACTCCTAAAAGGAAAACCAACAGCCACGGAGAGGCCGGGCAAGGACACCCAGGGGGTGGGGCTTGGGGTAGGAACTGGGGAGGCCCCCACGGCCCCGAAGACAGCCCTCCCGGAGGGAAGAGCCTAAAGGCAGAGCGAGGGGCCACAGAAGTCAGAACGCCGCCGGCACGGCCGAGCCACCACGCACAGAAGGACGGACCATCGACACAGGGGTTTGAGATTACGTGCAGAGGACGAAGAGCAAGAATGGGGGTGCCCCTGGCACAGGACGGATGACAAAGACCAGGGGTCGGCCAGTTTGTTCTGCGAAGGGACAGACGGGGAATACCCCAGCTGTGGTGGGTGGGCCTCCCAGCCCGTCACAGGGGCTCGGCTCTGCCACTGCTGCGTGACAGGAGCCACGGGCAGTTTGTAGAGGACCGAGCACGGACGTGTTCTGGTAAAACTCTACTTGTGACACTGAAATCTGACTTCCATATGACCTGCACGTCACTGGATATTATTTTTTATGTTTTCCCAACCGTTTAAGAACATGAAACCATCCTCCGCCCACAGGACACACACAGACAGGCGGTGGGGGACATCTGGCCGCGGGCCGCAGCTTGCCGACCCTAAAACAGACGACGTGAGCCAAACCAGGCACCCGCCGTGTTACTTCTGTCTCCTCTGTCGGGGAAAACCATCCTCACGCCCCGGGGAGCAGGACCACGCGGCGACCCGGGACACGGAGAGCCGGGGGGGTGGGGGAGGGCGTGGCTGGAGCAGCAGGTGCAGCCCCACGTGGCCACCGGCTGTGTGAGGCGCTGGTGGAACGGCCATCCATGGTCTTGGAGGAATGCCAGAGGACAGGAGGTTCCAGGGGACTGGACACTGGGAAAAATATTCTCAGGGAGGAGCAGCAAGAGGGCCATTGATCTGGGCCTGAGGGTGATTTCCAGTCGAGCCTGAAACCACGCTGTGAATCGGGGGATGAGCTCACAGAAAGGGGATGGCGACCGCGGGGGGCCGGCATGCCGCACAAGGATGTGCCGAAGTAACACCAGGTCTGTCGTTTTTCTTATTCCAGACGCAGCACGTGCCGACACAGAAAGAGGCGGCACCGCAGAGAAGCAGAAGGAAGAAAAGAGCAGGACAGCCTGAGGGGCAGCCCCTGTGAGCGCCGTGGGGTGCGCCTTTCTGGACCCACAGATGCACATTTTTAAATGAGCTCACACGCTGCTTCTGTGACTTGTTACTTATATTTACTCACACCTTTTCGTCAAAATCATCATTTTAAGAAGTCCTCACCCAATGGTATGTTTACTGATTTTGAGAGAGAGGAGGGGGTGGAGAGAAAAAGTGAAACATCGATCGGCTGCCTCCTGCACGCGCCCCGACTGGGGACCGAACCTGCAACCCAGGTACATGCCCTGACCCAGAGTCGAACCCGCAACCCTCTGGGGTACAGGACGTCGCTCCCACTACTAAGCCACCTGGCTAGGGCATCTAAATCATTTTTTGATGCCCGAAAAGTTAAGGACATTGTACAGATGTTTCAGAATTTCACCGTTTGCCTCTGGTTTTAGGCATTTAGGAAGCCCATCCCCCAACCTTTTTTTTTGGAAGATTATTTTTGAAAAGCATCAGTGCTCATCTTTGTAGACAAATCTTTTTGCACCCTGGTAATATTTCCTAGAAGAAACTCCCAGAAGCAGCAGAGTGAGGATCAGTGGCACACCTCACGCCCTTTCGATCAGGGCGCCCGGGGGCGGAGCAAGGGGCGTGGCTTCTTGGGATTTCGACTCTGAGTCCGCAGACGTTCCTCACCCACTTCCCGGGGCAAGAGAAGACCACTGGCTGGACTACGTCAACTAGCTGTCACGTTTGGCAGACAACGTGTAGGACCCCAAAAGGCTGGGTGGGTAAGAACATTCGGGAAGGCAGAGCCCGGTCGGACAAGGGAGGACCTCGAAGACAGGGAATGGGCTCGTGGGAGGTGGCTGAGCAGCCAGTCAGGCTGATCGGCTTCCCCAGAGGTCACAGAGGACGTGCCTGGGCAAGGCAGACCCTGGGCTAAAGGCTCCCCTCCCTCCCCTGAACATGTCCCGAGCGCCCAGGTGCTGGGGACGGAGCTACACTCTCTCCCCGCCGGTTTCTCCAGCGGCTCTGAGCCGCGTCGTTCCCTGAGCAGGTGCGGCATGGATGCCTTAGTGAGAGGCACAGGAGAAGGGATATGTTAGCAGGTATGCCCTTGGGAAAACACGTAAAAGTAAACATTGCTTTAATAACCATACAAATTAAATGTGAGCTGCTTTTCCAAATTCTAATTACACTGTTTGGGAAGCGACTTATCTTCCGAAGGACTGCAAACTCAGTAATCAAATACTTTCAGGAGCGAACCAGGGCACACCAGGAGTCCGCACCGAGGGATTAGCCCCTGGAGTCTGCAGTGGGCGTGTGCCAGCGCCGTCCGGAAGGAGAGCGGTGGGATGGGATGGTCGGTTTCGTTACCAGCAGAGCTCCGGCTACCATGGCATCGGGCGCTGGGCAAGGGCTAGGGCCAGGGGCACACTTTGCCTTGGCTGTTTTTGGAAGACACCATCGAAACCTTAACTTCCTAATACTGAACCGAGCGTGCCACTCAGTGCCAGATACTGTTCGTACGGGGGAGGGGAGGTCTCTGCTCCCTTCCAGCCAGAACGACTTGCAGGCAGGCTGCCGGTGGGTAGGCGGGCAGGCTTCCCAGCTGCACCATGGTTGCCCAATGCTGAGCTTGCAGGCCTTATGGAGCCAGCGGGTCCTGCGGGGTATTTCTGGCAGCATCACAGCCAAGCAGTCCTGGACCCTGGCAGAGCAATTTGGTGCCTGCAGCCGCCAAGGAGGCCCAAGCTGCCTGCTGCCGTGTGGGCTGCAGCCTCAACTACCTCTGTTTGGAAGATAAAATCCAACCGGCTGCCATTTACATAAATGTAACAGGAAGTTTCTGAATGGCTTCCCCTGTGTCTTGAGGCTGTTACCTCGGTACTGCTACACTAACAGCTGAAATGAACCCAGACAACACCTCATCAAAGCCAGGGGGCGAGGAAGCAGTGGTCCAGAGGCAGACAGGCGCATTCCTGCCAAACGCGAGGAGATTTCACTCCGTGGGCCCTTTTCTGCAGGCACGTCAACAGCTGGGAAAGCCATCAGAGAGCCCGGGCGAGGGGGGGGGGCAGCCGAACACTCCGGCTGGAAAAAGATTTGCAAGCTGGAGGAAAAAAAAAAGTCATCTGCTTTGACTGAGCCTTCCTTATGCGCACTCGGAACGGGGTCGCCCTGCTGGGTTTCACAGACCTGTTCTGCATCGCTCTGCCACTGAGCATCTGGGGAAATGGTCAGCTTTTCTACAAAATAGGTCATCTTTCCACACTTGTTAGGTTCCCTGTCGGCTCTGCTGATATAGCCGCGGCACAGAAGCAGCTCTCGCCGGGGCGCTTTCCTCACACAAGTGTTCCCTCCGCCCTGGGGGCGTCTGGCTCCCGCAGGAGGGCTGGGGAAGGGAGGGCTCGGGGGACATCCCTGTCCTCCCCGCTCCCCAGCAGGTGTGCCACCCAGAAACGGAACAACTGGCTTTGGCTTTTACTTCCAAACCTATTAGGGAGCGATCATAACGAGAAAAACTAACACTGACACGAATTATACCACTGTTCTATTTCATCTATTTAGTAACCTGAAGTTGCAGTTTTTAGAACGAAGATTACCTCTTAAATAACTGATTCATTATGGTACATGAGTGGATGCCATGTTCCCGTGTTCCAAGTGTCACTCACCATTAAGGGCGGGCGCTGGTAAGGGGCACCGATCTGCCACTTCCCCCGCAGATGCAGGCGCCCCTGCTCGAGGCCCAGGATAATCGGAGGCCAGTTTGCGGGTTTCCCCGGCGCTTAGCAAGTCACCTGCCCTGCCAGGCACCTAATGAATCTCAATTCCGTAATAAGGCTTGTACGTTTCCCCTCCCCGGCTGAAGGTGAAAAGGAAAACGAGGACTGATGAAGTTCCTGCCAAGGTAACACTATCAATTTCAAGGCCGAGTTCAGAAATCACAGACTCACAGGGCGGGGGTGTGACGGGCGGACCACCAGTGCAACCTCTGGCCACAGACCAGAGGCTTTGAGAAATGAGAGGCGAGGACAGACCCAGGCCTGGGAAGGCGAGCGGACCAGGCCCCGGCTCTGTGCTGCCCCAGCCCCCCGGGCCCCCCAGGAAACCCGCCCTCGGTCTGGCAGGTGAACAATGCGGCGACTATTCTCTGGAAACCTCCCTTCGAGCTTGTGAAATCCACACATTGTTTTTCATCATTAGTTTCAAAACATGCTGAGTATCTGGCCCTCCTCTAAGCGCTGCGGTGGCACAGAGGGAAGGGGAGGCCTGGCCCCTGCTGGGACCAGGCCCCTGGCAGGGAGAGACGAGGTAAGACGGATGCCAGCAGAGCCAGGGAACGCGCTGGGGGGGGGGAGGACGAGTGTGGGACCATCATGGTCGCCGGCTGCTAGAGCAGGGGCCCCGCGTACCTGATATGGCATACAGGTTGGAGTGCTGGTACTCGTAATCCGCCCGAGTGCTGTTCCTGCCCCGGAAGGTGGCGGGGAGAGTGAGAGAGATGTGCCTGGGAAAGAGACAGAGGAGAAAAAGGAGGTTACAGGGTGCACGAAGCAACCCCCCAAAGGCCCCGAAAGCCCCCAGTGCCCAGAACGGCCCACCGCAGCACGAGCAGGAGTGGGCGCCCCTGGCGAGCAGCGGTCCTCCGCCAGCCCGAGTCCCCCCAAGGGATTCAGAAGTGCCCAGACCTCGGCAGCCACCTTTGTCTACACTGGCAAGGACGTCCGAGAGAAAGAAACGGTTTCCCCAGCCTACAGCATGCCCAAGGTGCTCCAGGGAGGTGGGCAACTTAGTCCAGATCTCTGCCCACCAGGCAGAACACCCCAGCGCCGCCAGAACACGCAGGCTTTGCCCATGGGCCTTCACTGGTTCTGCCACATTGGCTCCATTATCCATCCATCCACTGGCGTCCATACGTCCCCGCAGGGCCGCTGGGGCAACAGCACAGGAAGCACTTTGTGAGCGAAGCGGCTATGACTACCCTGTGAGTCCAGCGGCCTGCCGACCACTGAGAATGGGAAGGGCACGCCCCTCGGAACTGCAGGTCCGCACGTTCCCCCTCCGGCGGAGCACACAGTAGGCGCTCTGGAAAGCACCTTTGATTGGCCGGCGTGCCTCCTCTGGCACAGGTGTCGGCGTTAAAGCCACAACGCGCACGGAGATGGGTGAGTACTCAACCAAAGCAAACAGTCCATTTGGTGTAGTCCTCAGCGGCCGTTAGCAAAGGCGGAAAAACAAGATCAAAATAATAGGAGAAATGTTTAAAATCCCACAGGTCTGAGGGGGAAAACAACAACAAAAATACCTCTTCTTGGCATGAAGGGGGGCGGGGGGCGGTGTGAAATAGGTCTGCAGCCTGAGCTTTGGCCACACTCCATCATTCCCGAAAGGGAGGAAGCGCTCGCTACATGAGGAAAACTTTACGTCTCACAGGTTGCCTTCTTCGCGGACGCGTGGGTGATGGCTGGAATGACTCTCGTGCATGTGGACCCCTTGGAGGAAAGGCTGGCCAGTCAGGGCCTGTTCCCGCAGAGCCGGGAGCCAGCAAGAGCCTCCCGGGACTCCTCGGGTGCCGAGGGCCATGCTGCCGACCAGCCCGGCTCACCGGGCTGAGGGCCTTCACGGAGCACCAACCGTGCGCTCCCCCGGGCTGCCGCGGAAGCAGCAGACAGAACCACGTGGGCATGGGCCCGCACGCAGTGAATGTGCGTGATGCTGACTGACGGTGAAGGGTGAGCTCCCCGAAGGGGCTCTCAGGCCGCAGGGGACAGAGGTGCAGGGACAAACCCCCCTGCAACACGACATGCTCGGAGGAGAATAAAAACTGGGCGCTGAGCGAGCGTGGGAGGAAGGAACAACATATTCGGAGAGAGGGGACAGAGCGTTGTCCTGTTCTCAGAGGAGGGCAAGGGTGTTACAGGAGTACAAGGGGCTCCCTGGGCGGTCAGGGACAGCCTGCAGGGGCAGGGTGAGGGCACGCTGGGGACAGGAAACGGGAAAGACAGGCCAGGGCCAGAGGGGACAGATGTCTGGGTTCTGGGCCCCAAGCGGACGGTTCCCAACCCCGCCCCGCTCATCGGCGCGGGGATGAAGGCAGGAGAGCTGCCCGGGAACTTGCTAACAATACAGATTCACAGCCCCGGCCCGGGGGAGTCCGGTTCAGAGGGCCCGGGGTGCCGTCCAGAAGTCTATTTTTAACGAGCTCCAGCAGCGACTCTGAAGCCGGGCCAGGTTCGGGAAACCTGAGAGGGCGAGGAGCAGCTGCGGAAGGGCTGTAAGCAGTTGATCAATGCCCCTGACCACAGCACTTAGTCAATGAAGCTGAGCAAACACGAGGATGAATTATTGACTGTGGCTGTGGTTGAGCAGAGCTGAAATGATGACAGGTGACCCTGCGGAGAGTGCCTGCCACGGGCCAGGCCCTGGGGTATGACGCGGGTCTCCCGCGTTCTCCTACGGCTCCTCACGCTGCCCTACAAGGCAGATACAGGGCAAGCTGCCCAGCGTACAGGGCTCAGTGCAAAACAAAAATGTGGGGCTCGGGTTCAAATATCATTAAGAATTTCAAGATGGGGACGGCAGAGCATTAAGCAAGCACAGCCCGCCCCCCTGCAGGCACAGGGAGCCGCGGGACTGGCTGGCTGCACAGTTGTGGCGCTGGCTGGGGTGGGTGCTGTAACTGCACCCGCTGTACCAACGAGGGGGTTTCCAGCGTTTCCCCGGGACGAACTGTGCTTCAGGGCTGCCATGCTCTGAGATTTCCAAGCTTTGAAAGCTCTAAAAGGGTGCATTCAGGGAGGCTCACGGAGGAGGTGGGGCCAAGGAGGACTCGGAACAGGGGGCAGCCCAGCCATGCGGTGGCCTAGCAAGCGCCTGCCACGCATCAACAGAGACCTGGGGGGGACTCAGCAGTGGCTGGACAGGCAGGGCCCTGCCTTTGCAGAGCTCACCCTGCAGCAGGGGACATGAAAACGCCCACGAGGTCACAGGACACATGCTCACAAATGCAGTCACACGTGGAAAGCAGGAACACTAACTACTGTGCCGTGCGGGGCTCTGTGCAAGGCTTCCCCGGACCGAGGACAGGACCGTGGCGGGGGGGCAGTAAGGATGGGCAGGGGAAGGGCTGCCTTCCAGGCCTCCTGAGTGGCCGGTAGGGTGGCTGAGGGAAGCCCTGGAGGGAGGCCGGGACGGCCGGAGCCTGAAGGCCAGGGAGAGGCTACTGAGCCACAACACTCAGGACCCTGCACAACAGCTGACTTTATCCGGAAGGATTTGTAAGCAGGGATGTGACAAGATCCAATTTGCAATTTAAAAAGCTTGCCTGCCTGTGGGAAAGTGAGGAAAAAAAAGATTGCGATGCCCTGGGTGATGGGAATGGAGCAGCAAGTTATGACGGAGATTACCATGACCCTGCAAACAATTATGCAGCACCTACTGCGTATGGAGCCATAACAAATACTGCCAAAATGACCTGCAGCAATGCTCTAAGGCGAGTGAACAGTCTGGGGGTAATTTGACGGCACTCGGACTTAAAGAAGTATACACAGAGAGGTCCAGGCGCCTGGCTGCTTCGCTGCCCGAGGCCCAGCACGGCCTGAGTTCCCGGCCATCAGATTTTGCCTGGCGGGCCACACTCTGAGGCCCGCCCCCTTGGCCTGGTTCTCTTTCTTCCGTGCTCTCTGGCTCCTCCTCCAACCTTTTAGGGGTTGCTCTTTTCGAGGGTTCTGGTTTAGCTCCCTTCTCACTCCATCCACACCCTGGTCTCTCTACCATTTCACACCAGCCCGGCTCCCCAGTCTCTGCCTCCTGTCACTGCCCATTTCTCCCTTGTCCGGCTCCTGCACGCGCACCCTCCAACCTTGCTGGCTGCTTTCTGGCCTCCCTCACTCTCATCCCTGCCCCAGGACCTTTGTACTTGCTGCTCCTGCTGCCTGATACGCTCCTCCCCAAACCCCCAGAAGCTGGCTCCCCTCCCCAGCCAGGCCGCCCCCCGATGAAGTGCCCAGCCTGGTAGCTGGCTCGCTCTCGGAGCTCTCTCCCCTTCCCGCAGAACCCTTCCCAGTCTAGAGGGCTGTCTCATTGGTCTGCGTGTCTCCAGAGCACGGCCTGCCTCCTGCTTTCTCTTTCCGTAGCCCCGGGGCCTGGAACAGTGCCCTCCAAACCCTGGGCACGTCCAAAAATATGAGGGAGACCCTGTAATGTCACCTAATGCTTGTTAAGCAAGGGAACAAATATGATTCTTCTAATCAGAGAGACAGACTCTCGGGGAACTTCAGGAAGGCCTCACACTCATCTCCTCCTCGCCGCTGGAACCGGGCTGGTTAACGGTTTGGAAAGTGCAATTATTTTTGATTCATGGATATTTTTCCATAAACAGTAAATATATTCATCATGGCATTGCTTATAAAACCAAAAACTGGAATAAAATGAAGTATCAAATAATTGGGGACTGGTTAAAGATCACAGTACGACTGTCCGGTAAGATATCTTACACCTATCTGAAATATTTTAGCAGCCGATAATGGCAGAACCCAGGCCTATCACCATAGCGTCTAATGAGAAAAGATACATGGTAAAACCCTTATTTCTACACTGGGAATTGGGACTGTTGACCCAACACTCTTTAGCGGCTTCCCTGTCACGTGACCGTCGGTGGACGCAGAGGAAAAGAAGGCCACCCCGTTCACGTTCACGGCACTGGGCGATGCCAGAGGAGCGAGAGGGGTAAGCCTCCAGCAGGCTGACTCCACCTTGCCCGGCACCTGGGGGGGCAGGCCTCCTGGCACCGCCCCCAGCAGGTCCTGGGCCAATGGAGTGAGGGACTGACCACCGGAGGCCAGCTGTGTCTGCCGCTTGACTCAAATGATGGATTATTATTCTGAAATCGGTCGGGTAACCGGAGAATGCTTACCAGAACAGCCCCTGGATGCCCGGGGCCCTTCATTGAGCTGTCCTCTCTGCCCCCCACCCATGGAGCCGCCCAGAGGAGACAGGGCGCACCCCGCTGAGCGATCACCTCTCTCTGCAGGAGGGACGGGCTGTCCTGTAGCAAATCCCACGAGCTGCCAACAACAGCTCCAGCTAAACAGACGCTGAGGGGAATTTCATTTTTTCCTCCGAGTCAGTCTAGGCACCTGATTCAATTAACATGGCCACTGCGCTGCAGACAGCTCCATAGAAAAGCCCTTCAGTTACGGAATGCATTTTATTACGTGACAATAGTTGCCAGCACGATTTATTTCCTTTGATGGGATTCTGCTTTTTCCTTGTTAATTTAAATCTGTATTTTCTCGTGCTGATTCCAGGTCGGTGTGAATTTTTAAAACGTGACCATTAATCTTCCAGACCCAGTGGCCGCATAGAATGGAGGCGGCCGCTGCCCAGGAACCAGGGACGCCTGCTGTGTCTCCGGCTGCCAGAGGGGGGCGTCGAGACACACTCAGGGTTAGAGATGGGTGTCGCTTTGATCTCCCACCCCTACACACACGCACACACATGTGCACA